TCACCATCACAATCGCCATCACCATCACCATCACCATCACCATCATCAGAATCACTGTGCCTGTGCATTATCTCCGTCACCGTCAACGCCGTCGAAAGTATCCTGATAAACCTGGCCAAACTCCACCAATCTAAATCAGCAAACATCTGACCTTTAACCTGGATGTCTGGCAACACTCAACGGCAAGACAATGGTTGCATTGGTTAACATTGACGGTAATGACGGTACAAGTTATTGACAGTAGGTTGGTTGTCTATTGCAGTCAGCATCCTAAGGAACCACACTTTTGAACACCCGCTGCATGGCAAACAGATTCAGGCCGTCCTCCATGTCTTGACCGTTCAACACCAGATCGCCACCAGCATTGATGTGATCATTGACGGCCAGAGAGAAAAGAATCCCGAAGACGTACACAATCAGAAAGAGAAGCATGAGGGCCCAAAACAGTGACTTCAATGTGTGAAAAATGGAGGTCACAAGAGTTCTGAGTGCTGTCACGAAGCGAAAGATCTTCATCAAACGCACAGCCTTCGCAATCCGGGCCACTCGAAGTAGTCTGAAAGCTTTGATGATCTGTACAGGACCTGCTCCGTTGTCCTCCGGCTCTGCCTTGGTTGCTCCGGGGCTTCCACTGAGCTGAGGCTTATCAAGAGCTTTTGGTCTTGCCTCTCTTAAACACAACTTGCTCGAGAACAGGTTAGTGTCGCCAGCGAGAAATATCACATCGTCGACTAGCTGGAAAAGTGAAGTGATGACGATGAAGCTGTCTAAGATACACCAACACGCATCTCCGTCGCAATAGATCGAAAGGCCAAAAGCACAGAGACGCATGAGGAGCTCTGTGGAGAAGAGTGCTAGAAACACAAAGTGTGAGACAAGAACGACCGTGGATGGGGTATTTGGATCTGCGATGGCTTCCCGTGTCTCCCAGCCAATGAAGACGGCGTTGACCAGCACAACGATCCCAAAGAATATGTCGAAGGCATTGCTGGAAACCAGTGCAGCCAGCCATCTGCGATAGCGGCTAACACTGGTGTGACTGGCTTCACTGTCTTTGCCCGCAAGTTTGATGGATGCAAATTTCCTGCGGTGTCGCGTGCCGTCTGCCTCGGCGGCCGCTTGGCGCAGTCCCATGTCGAAGCCCGAGAAGCTCTGAAAGAACTTTGGCTTCTTTTGCTTGGGCGTTTCCTCGATGTCCACATAGGGCGAGGGCGAGCTAGACTGGTGGGGGTACAAGCTGCTGCTGCTGGGGAAGTGGGTCGCATCCTCGCCATCCGAGCTAGCCCCTTTTGATCTAGAGGTCCTTGCCGAGGGAGCTTTCGGTGACTCGTTGGACAGCACCCGTCCGACCCATTCAGCATTTCCTTGCCCATAAATAGGGAAGCCAGGCTTGGAGGCTTTGGAAGCCACGACTTGAAGCAAAACCTCAGGGAGTTTGGCTTTTTCTGAACTAATTTGCTTGAACCGTCCTTTTTCTGCCTGTTCAAGGCTGCATTGGAGAGAGTCTGAAGTCCGTGGTTGGGATCACAAATCTAGGCACCTCTTGCCGCAGCAATGTCTTCATGATTTCGTCATGCTGTGCCGCCATCAATGTTTGCCATGGTGGTGTTGCAGCGATCGCTCCGGTACTAGATCCTGAAAACGCCGCCCCTGGATAAGACGAGGCAGAAGAATGCGGCGCTTCGGGCAATACATCCTCCTCGCACTTGAATGAGAGAGCACTTGGAGACGGGCGAGGAACTTCCACAGCATCATTCAGTACATGGGCCATTGAGCAGCTTCAAGCTAGTTAAACAGACACGCACAGACACAATCTGACATGCCCTGGAAGTCCGAACAGTCTGATGCATACCAAACATGGATCGATGGTCTCTGAGTCTTCACGGTGCATGAAGGTGTGCTACCTCAACTCGAGCATCCAGCTGCCGGTGGGATCGAAGCA